ATCCGCCGGGTTATGGGCCGGTCTTGCTCATCACTTGATGGTTACTAGTTGGGGTGTCAAAAAATTACACGATCCGTTAACACGATATAAAATTAAAGTATTTGAATATTTTTTAAGTCACTTATTTAGTAAATGAGTGGACTCAACACGACACAATTAATAAACGAATTGAGTATGTATAAAGTCAATAAAAAAAAATTTACAATACAATTCATTTATATACCAGTTATACACGGTTCATACATGACACAAACTTAATATAACACGATTCATGAAACATGATTAATAAATAAATTAAGTATAAATAAAAATATTTTATAATATGAACCCGTTAAAATTCGACACAAATATGTGTCACCCGATACGATACGGCACACAAGCCTACTCACTTGTCAGTGGGTAGTCTTATGGTCCAACGGATAAGGTCTTGGTCCGATGGGTCCAACTAGTTAGCCAAATTAAGGCCTGCAATGATGGCACATTAAAATTGAAATAAATATACGAAAATAAAGGCCTCGTTTGAGGGAAAAAAAGAAAAAAAAAGTTAGGCCATTATGATTGACCCAACGAAAACCCCGCCAAAGGAATAAATATTTAATATGACGGTGACACCGTGTCATTATTGTTCAATGTCACTATCCGATAAAAAAAATAATCAAACGAATAACATGTTCCTCACTTCTATATATGAATCAATAAATATTTAATTATTGTATAATTTACATGTCTTATTAGTGGACGATTACATCAATGTTAGTATAATGACTTGGTCGATGCTCATCTTATTTTAGTTGCTAAAGAATTCTACCTTTGGTATTGATTGACCTAACGTTCTCGACCTCTCATTTTCTAAGGTTAATCAAATGGTTTGCTTGTGGGCAATGTGAGATGTTAGGCTTGGTACCGAACCTTAGAAATGCCACTAAGCTACAAAGACTTTACCTGACACCCATTTATGGCCAGGAATTGCATGACCCAAAATTTATAGACGATCCAATGGATAGTGAGTGGGATTGGGTTGATGGCAAATCCTAACGACTAAAGATTCGCTAAGTGGGCTTATTGCTTAAATCTTGGGCCCCGAATACCACCCCAACTCGGGTCCCCATAGATTTATTTTGGGAAAATTATGAAAATGTATATCATTTCATACTTATTTGGGTAAAATTATTTCAATATAAAATATAAGTGTATAAGTATATTTATGTGTAAATATTTGATGAAGATGTACACTTTTGTTGAATTGTAATTTTTTTTTCTTACGAAATTATCATTTTCCTTTATTAATGGGAGACAAATATGTCAGTTATACGAGAGATTCAGTTTCCTAATTTTATGTTATATCTTTTTTTAATTTTAAATTATATCTTTCACTTTTATTCAACTGAAGTTGTTCAAACATTTATTTTTATTTAAACATTCACGTCTTCCCTATATTTGTATAATTTTTTTTTTATTTTTTTATAAATCGTAATGAGGAATATATGTTTTCACCTTATATAATACCATCGATTGTTATGAGTATTTTTTTTCATGGATATTGTCGCATTAGTACAGTGGTTAGAGATGAAAATGAATCGGGTAAAAATGGATATTAATCAAAACTCACTCTGTTTGGACCGAGGATAGACCATACGTATTAGACGGTGAATGTATACGGCGATACTCGTATAAACTCGTGAGAAAATAAAGGCAGGGATAGATTGACACTTACCCTCGTCCCGCTTTACCTGTTATTATTATTATTATTATTATATATATGTTGATTTGAATACAAATCTACATTTTATTGAATGATTTTAAAAAAAAAAAATTTGTTTTGTTGTTTTATTTATTTTTCATGGTTTTTGCTTGTAAAAGTTTAGATATTTGTATTTTTATATTTTTTTCATGTTGGATTATGTTATGTTACATTATATTGTGTTGCATGATATTGTGTTAGATTTATAAGGGAGACAAACTTTTAATTATATTATGTTGGATTATGTTGTAGTCAAGGTTTTAATTATATTATGTTGTAAATGACAAACTTTTAATTATGTTATGATATTTTATAAGTATGTTGCATTATTTAGAATGTTAAATTTATTTAGAATTTTAAATTTATATTGGCTTGAGTTTGAGCTTGCATGGGTAAAGTGGACGGAGGTGAAGGTGGTGGACGAGGCAAGGGTGGGGATTACAAATTTACCCGTGGACGGGGATGTAGATGAAAAATATACCTATTAACGAGGATGGATTGGGGACAAACGTAATTTTTTTAAGCAGGTATGGGGATGGAGACTATACCCCCCGCTCTTGCTTCGATTCACTGTCATCCTTAACAGTGGTACATTTCATATTGGCATAGTGATGCATGTCACATTAGCACAGTGATACACGACAAATATCATAGTATTACAAGTCAATGTCACATTAATACAAGTCAATGTCACACTGAAACCAACCTATGTCACACTAATACTAGCCTATGTCACACTGGTACAAACGAATATCACACTACATACATTGAAATGACACGGGGGCACAATATACATCATGAATAATTAAATCTAATGTAAATAAGATTACATAGTATCACAAATAAACAAAATAGGACAAATTGTGTTTGTGGATGGAATTAGAGTTGTGAAAAGGTGGTGATGACAGGGTAAGGTCTATTGTGATAATGCAGTTGTATATAGTCTCTTTGATTTTATTTTTTTTTGGCAAATGAACAAACACTTGGTATGCATGTAGTACCAAGAACTAAAAATAGAAAAGGTAGTTGAGAAAAAAAAATAGATAAAATAAAAATGTTCGGACAAACAACGTTTTTCTTGAGTTATCAACATTTTTTTCAAAAACTTCAACAATTTCAACCGTTGTTCTTCACCACAATATAAACCTTCTTCTTTAGCGATGAAGTTCGGTGTAATCGTCACCGTTTATTATAGAGATTTTCACTTATTAATAGTGAACCCATAAAAAAATCTATCACTTATTCACAGTGATTTTCACTTCTTCTTCAACGATTAGCAGGACGTTTTGAAAAGAATGAAAATTTTCTCATCAATCTTTGAAGAATGAAAGTTTTTTCGATGATATTGAAAGAGTTTATGAGTATTAGTTGATATCCTAGATGTTTTCGGTTGTGTATGCAAATATTTAGAAATCTGTTCCCTTCTACAGAAGCGGGGTAGTTTAGACATTTACTATATATTTGTGTACTTTTTGACTGATATTTTTAAATGTGATATTTTTTGTCATATATTTTCAAAAAAAGGTACCGGACCCCTGAAATCTTATTTATTTTTTTGGTTCGATTTATCCTTCATTACTACTTAAGATATTTGTTGGGGTGTTAATCGAGCCGAACTCGTCGAGCTCATTTTTTTAAACGAGTCTAAAAAATTGTTCAAACTCGACTTGTTTAAAACTTGAGTCGGCCCGAGTAGTTCTACTATTTTATATATAGACGAGTCAAACTTTACGAGTTTTAGCCTAGCCTTTGGATTTGTCTTTTTAATTGTGCCTAAAAATATGTTTAATCCCAACTCGTTTAAAACACGAGTCAAATCTTATTCGAGTCGAATCCGAGTAGTTCGTTTCGATTAATACCTCTAGATATTTGTTTTCTAGTAGAAATTGAAACTCCTGAGTGGGTCGAGGAAATCTTCGTCAAGAGGTTTCTTTTTGAGGAATTATTTTTTTTTTCACTCAAAATAACTTAAGCGACATCTCTCTTCCCCGTTTAATATCTTGAGACAAGTATAATGAGGATTAGAACCGAACAACTTTTTAGTAAAACCCAATTGGCATAATTTTTAACCCTGTCCTAGCAACAATTTGTACTATCAATGATTTAATCATTGGACCAACCAATAGAGGATTACAATATCACATCACCTATGGGTCGTCTTGGAGGTATTGTGAAGAGTCATTTAGTGTTAATTTTTACACCAAACAATGATTCTCTAGTTCAATTGTCTAGATTTATCGACAAGTTGATTCATTGTTTTGCAAAACAATCCGAATATTAATTTAGAGCTTTGTGTGAAAAATTGCACATAAGTTAAATAAGAAGCGATGTTCAAACTTATAAGATCTACGATAATTTTTCCCTTAATAATTTAAGGTGTCTAAATTGCAAGACAATAATAAGTGGTATCAAAACGGAACTCAAAGAGTTAAGTCCATCCTGACATTATTTTTTCTTCTATTGTCGCCCTTAATTTTTTTAGAACTTGCAAAGAGGATTACAAAAAATTATTTTTAAGAAAATTAAATAGTTACAAATTGAGAAAAAAACAGCTGAAATTTGTATAAAATAAAATTCCAATGTGTGTCATTGTTTTACAAAAATATCATTGTCACCGTAATTAATCACAATTATTTCATTGCAACTAACACATTGGACCAATTTTTTTTTCAATGCTCAGGAATGTCTAAATCAACTTACATATTTCAATTAATTTATTCTTCAATTCGATTAAAAGTAGATCACTCACAACAAAATTAAAATATTCATAAAAAATAACTCTAAAAATTATCACGATGCTACTATTCACTTAAACTATTCATGAGTTACGTGGAGTACATCTGGACTACTTTGATGGGTTACATTTAGACTACTTTGCCCTTCATAAAAATCTGTCTCCGGTTTATACTCTGCTGTTCCACCTTATCTTTTCTCCATCGGGCCTTCGTCTCTAATGGCAACTCTTTATCTTTCTCTGATACCAACCAATCCAACACCGTCAAACTCCAACTCCAAACCCATCTCATCACTCTTCACCACCACCACCACCACCACCACCACCACCTCCATCTTGAGGCCTTTACTCTCCTCCTCATTTCGTTTTTCATGTACCCGCCAACACTCCAACCCAACCCAGTCTCGAACTCCTGTAATAAGGGCCGTGGTGGATAGGGATTACTCGGCCAGAAGGAGTAGTAGCAATGAACCCAGAGAGACGATAATGTTACCGGGTTGTGATTATAATCATTGGTTGATAGTTATGGAGTTCCCTAAAGACCCTGCTCCAACTAGAGAGCAGATGATTGACACTTACCTCAATACTCTCACCACTGTGCTTGGAAGGTCTGATTTTTTTTTTTGTGTTTTTTAAGGTTTTTGCATATCCAATTCGTTCATAACTATTTGTTTGTCTTTCTGTGTGCGTGTTTGTGTGTCTGTATCGCATTTTAACTTTGGGTTTGTATGTGGGTATGTAACTTTGATGGTTCTAAGGTTTTATTATTCCAATTTTTGATGTGGATGTGTAGTGGGGTTGGTCGCTCTTTGTAATGTTTGTTGTTTTTAAGTGTTAACTTTACTATTTATTGGAATTATGGAACTATATGAGGAATCTGATAGTTTGCGTTTTCTCTTATGTTATCATACTTTTTGGGAGATTGGAGAAGATGTAACTCATCAAATCATCGTTGCTTGGCTTAAGTGGTGGAAAGCCTGACATATTATATAATAGGAGGATACCAATAAAATTGAAAGCCAAATTTTACTGAACAGTTACAAGGATAACATTGTTATATGGGCCGTTTATAGAGCAATTAGAAACGACATAGTGACAAAATGAGTGTATCGGGAATTAGAATGTTAAAATGGATGTATGAAAAAACTAGAAAGGATAGAATGAAATAACCGTATTAGAGAAATGGTAGGAAGGTAGAGCTCCAATTGAGGATAATTTGAGTGGAAATAGATTAAGATAGTTTGTCATGTTCAACAGAGGCTGGTAGAGGCACCGATTAGAAAAAGTGATAGAATTTCTCTTAACGGTACTAGGAGTTGGGGTAGATCTAAATTAATATTGAACAAAATAATAAAAAAATATATGAAACTATTTTACTTTAATAACCGTATAGCGCGTAATCGAAATGAATAGGGAAGACGGGCTCATATAGCTGATCCCATATGATCAAGACATACGGCTTGGTTTGGTTGGTTGGTAAGAGAAAAAATTGTGGTAAGGTGAGCATGATGAGGCTGATTATTTACTAAAACAACTACAATGATTAATGTTCTTCTCTCGTTGTTAAGTAGAAATTATCCTCAAAAACCACACTTGTTTTGGTTTTTCAAGGTGAAAAGCAGTTAAAATTATGGATTAAAGAATACATTACAAAATACAAACATTTAATGTATTTGAGGGTTGGCATGTTGCAGTTTGCCGTTGTGAAACCATTTTTGTATGCAAGAAAATGATCGTAAGGAACAATTTTCATTTTTATGCTTGTCGAAAATGTAATCAATTCCTAATAAAACATCCGAGGACATCAAAGCTATTTGGATATTTATACAGTTGTTATAGTAGATGATGGTGTTAGTGAAGAGGAAGTTTGTTGGAGTTGGGGACTTTTCTTAGTAAATTGAGTCATTTCAGATGTTCCCTTTATCTACTTAATTGGTGTTATTGTGCCTTACACAATTAGTTTCTATTTGTGGTTGTCAGTATGGAAGAAGCAAAGAAGAACATGTATGCTTTTAGTACCACCACCTACACTGGATTTCAATGCACTGTGTCAGAAGAAACATCAGAAAAATTTAAGGGTAAGTATTGGTATTGGTTTCATGAAGAGGCCGACTTCAAGGATTGATTCTAATTGTCTGCTTATGTCTTCATCATTTGTAGGGTTGCCTGGAGTTCTGTGGGTACTACCAGATTCATATATAGATGTCAAGAACAAAGACTATGGAGGTGATACCTAATGAAGACATGTTTTCCACATTGGTATTAATAAGTGATGTTACCCAGTGATATAATTGTACTTTTTGATTTGCTTTAGGTGACAAGTATATCAATGGGGAGATCATTCCTTGTCAGTACCCTACTTATCAACCAAAGCAGTCCAATCGATCAAAATACAAGAGTAAAGCATATGTCAGACAGAGAGATGGCCCTCCTCCGGAACGAAGAAGACCAAGGCAAGAGACGCCTTCTCCAGATTCTGCCTCTGGATGAGCTCTACTTATATCGACATGCCCTGGTATTCTTTTTCCTTTCTATGATTCACTATTTTGATAAGGACTTCTATTCTCCATTTGCCTGCAGTTGTTTCCTTCTCCATATGAGCAAGCACGCAAACTTTTCCACACAATACTATCAAATTTTATTGCCGATTTAAAACTTTTTTCTTCATCTCTTCTCGGTATAATTCATTGATTTCATAGTGTTGTTTTTGCCATTGTGCTTCTTTTCAGGTTATTGTTTAATTTTTGGAGTGGAATCGCCATATGGAAATGGTACATTATTCTTAAGCAAATGTTACATGACAGTTTTAGGAAGATACATAGGTAGTTAAGATTTGAAATCCCTGCTTATATCTCGAGTTGGGTCCCTGCACTAATTGTCCAATTGTTTACTGTGAGGCCTGCGGTTTGGTTTTATTATGAGGAGTAAGAAGCAATGTTGTATGAGTTTGATGTAATGTCGAATTGGTTGTGAATTGGTAATCTTAGATAAACATATTTGTTATACAATTATTTGTTCTTTGTTTTGATTTGTAGGTCATATAATTCACAACGATTGATAAGTCTATGTGTGCGTCCTTGTATTCTGGTCACTATATGTAAGTCTGGTTTTATGTGCATTCTGTATGTACCTTTAGTTGAGCTTCGAGAAAACATTAAAGCATCCAAAAAACTGACCAAGTCAAAGAAAAAATGCTTCCGAAACAAGCTTAATGCGTTCTGTCATCACCACTTACAGTTATGCAATGAGTTTCACATGTAGCCCTTTAGCCTTGCAAGATGCCTTTTGTACACCATGATCTCGGGCTCTCTTTGGTTTTGTTTCATTTTATATTTATGTGGATGGAGACTAAGATTGGTTGATTGCAACCATTTGCAAAGGAACCTTGAAGTCCACTTAATTTAACTACATCTGTACCGGTTACTCTAGATTGGTTCTGTGGAGCAGTCTTGTCTAATTGCTTGTTTGTGAAACCATATCCTTGAGTAGTTACTAGAAAATTATGCCTTTTCTTTCTCACGGCCTCAACCCACATCTAGGAACCCCTGCATATGGTGATAGTTGGAAGTGCTAATGGATGTGGCAAGTGGATGGGGTTTTGGACATCCATCAAATTTTGGGTCTCTAGACCTAGTGTAGGTAAGTGTTGGAATGTGTCAATTTTTGGTCTTTGGTTTGTTGAGCAAGGTTGGCCTTTGTCTTTGATTTCTAACCATTTTGGAAATAATAAAATAAAAAATTTTAAACGTGTCATATTTTTATTAGTTGAAAAAGTAAAACCGACCCTTTTCACTTTTATATAGAATAGAGCTCAGAGTCCTAGGGAACCTTTACGGCCGCTAGATCCTAGTCCCAGCCATCTTTAAATCACAAGGCCTGGATCATTGGGATCTGGTGCTCCAACTCCTCTTCGGCTGCAATTGAGCAAGAGATTCAAAGGGGAATAAGGGAAAATTTGGGTTATGGGCCATGGTTCTTTTGTGCTGATGCCAAAACTTGTCACATTAACTTCTGGCCTAAATCCACATGCAATGGGTCCTCCTTGTTTGATTGACAAAAAAATATGGTTACTTTTATACATTGCATTTTTCACTGATTTTATCGTCCAACTGTTTGATCACCTCAATAATTCATTAGTCACCATCTCAAACTTAAACTATCCATATGATAGAGTTTCCTTCTAGGACTCCTTCCATGACCCACCAAAAAGACCATCCTGTTCTTTCAGCAGATATCAAAATTCTCAGAATTGTTTTCAATAGCTTTACTTACATCCATTGGTGCAGTCTAAAGCGTATGATCAGATTAACCTCCATTTCTAATAGGTGGGGTCTCATTATGATACCGAAAAATATTTTTTCGATATCGTACTTTTATATTCAACTAGAGCTTGAAAAAGGGAGACTGTATCAATCATAGGTGTTTGACATTCTTGTCCTATTCAAAGATTAAGGCCAAAAGGGCCACTCACCCCTTCTTTACAACGGCAGTATTCATTTTACTATGATCATTATATCGCTTTGATTTCTTTAAGCAATCATGTTCCAACACAGTGACATATCTTTTCGGATAAGATAAGAATCCAGTGGCTGAGTTTGAATACCCATACAAAAAAAGGTGTGTATTGAACTGTATTCAGTTTCTCTTGAGGATTGATGGGGTCCTTCTTCTCTTTGCCAATAATTCAGCTATCTCAAACATGAATCACTACTGAGATTGGTTCTGGGGGAGATTGTAGAGGTGAAGATCCATAATGTCTTACTACGGCTCCGATTTCTACGAGGGTGATTCTGGTGAGTACCATTGGAACCCT